CATCTTTAACAATTCTCTCTCCTTAATCTACTGCCTTCAGTCACCAACCTCTCCTCTTTCTTTAAAAAAAAAAATTCTTTTAATGTTTGTTTATTTATTTATTTATTTATTTTTTGTTTATTTATTTTTGAGAGAGCGAGAGAGACAGAGTATGAACAGGGGAGCGGCAGAGAGAGAGGGAGACAGAATCTGAAGCAGGCTCCAGGCTTTGAGCTGTTAACACAAAACCCAATGCAGAACTCAGACTCACAAACCATGAGATCATGACCTGAGCCAAAGTCAGGCGCTTACCCTACTGAGCCACCCTGGCACCCCACCAACATTTCCTCTTTCTAAGCCATACAATCCTTCTCCCTTCCACTTCTATGCAGCCCTACTGACAATACCTCATCACATCCACACCAACACTGTTTCTCTCCTGGATTATTGTAGTTGTATCCTACACTCTCCTCACTCACTCTTTCTCCTTTTCAATGTGTCCTTCATACTTTAACCAAAGTACAATTACAAGAAAGATTATCTGATCTTGACCCCTGCCCCTTTATTTCACATTCATTGCTCTCATGGTGAAGTCACAACTCCTTACATGATTTGTAAGACCCTACATGATTAGAACCTGATGCAATGTAAGTGCAGAGCCCCATGTGGGGCTCAATCCCATGAACCGCATGATCATGACCTGAGCCAAAATCAGGAGTCAGTTGCTGAAGTGACTGAGCCACCCAGGTGCCCATGAATTCATCATATTTCTTTACCACCTTAGGCTTGTGCACTTTTTTTCTCTCTCTTTGGCACTAAACTCTATCCTTGCAACTACTATGTTTTATCCTTGGAACTACTATGTTCCTTACCATCCTCATTGTTCGGTTCTCAGCTGAAATCACATTTCCTCTGGGAAGTTTTCCCTGATCCAAAAGATATTCTCTATGTGTTCCCTTTAGCATGCTATCATCTATGCAGTAGTGATGAAGATTTGCAGTAAATATTTTCTTTCTGGCACCCACTATAATGTTATACTCTGTTCGTTGTTAAGCTGACATAAAAAGGCTAATGGTCTAAAAATAAGGTAATTTTTTAAGACAAAGTTGGCTGGCCCCATAAACATGGATATTAAGAAATTCACTCATGTTCTTCTGAATCAGAACGTATTTCCCCAAAGACATAGAAAAGACAAAAATGCAACTGGAATTCATAAGCTCTACGATCAACAATGGTACCTATGACCCCTGAGAGAAACTGGGGTACTTATGGCAGTTGAGGTGGACAGTAAGAAGGACATGCATGGATTTCTTAAACCCTGAAGCTGAGGATCTGGGGGGAAGGGGCTATGTAGCCAAGTCCTGATATTCCACCTTTGCTTGTATCTGAGTTTCCCGTCTTCCTCCCACATCCTTTGGGAGCATGAATGACCTGGGGACGTTGATTAAGTGGCACAGGTTAAGCAAATAAGATCAAAGTAGCTGTGCCACTCTCAGAGAGGAGAGAGGGAAGAGAGATCAAGGGGTCTCCTAGTGGCTGTAAAGCTAACTCTGGGGAAGTGATTTCTATATTTATAAGCATTCTGATGGGGCCTCCTGAGGAAGCGATGTGAGGAATCATCTAAACCTGGTCTTCAAATAGGGCAGGAGCAGGTCCCCATTACAGCAATAAGACGAGTGGGTGAGTGCCAGGAACAGAAATATGGAATGACTCCTCTCCTTTCTGATGTTATATGCAGTCTAGAAAAACACTTAAGAATGTTTTCCAGAGGCTTTCATAGAGGGAACATCCTAGCTGAGGTAGGAAACATCTACTTCATAGATTCCTTCCTTTTTTTTTTTTTCAATAAGTGTATTAAAAGAACTATGGTAGATTTGGCTTTTCTAGTCTGGAACCCTCGGGTTCACATCACCATAGCCATGAATGCCCTAAATTAAATGTGACATTGTATTGTGCTCTTACCCATTTTTCTGGGTACAATTTTATAGTTTTTGATTAGATCCTAATAGCACATGCATGTGTGTGTGTGTGTGTGTGTGTGTGTGTGTGTGTTCACACTGTGGGAACTGCTGTCTTAGAAATGGCAGGTAAGACTCACTAGGGAGAATAAAAAACCTGAGAACCTGGCCTTGTGCCTATTGGGGCCTATTCCTCATCCCATTCAGGAGGAAGGTCATAGATGGGAAGAGCGGACCAAGGGGAGGAGGAATAACACTGTCCTCTCTGTTTACCTGTGCCTTTGGACTTTGTGATGGATTCTCCCTTCATTATTTCCTTTTGAGGTCCACATATCTTTCCTCTCCATTGTTTTCTCCTGTACCTGAGCCCTCTCTGCTTCTTTCCCTCCCCTATATCCACTTAGAATCAAGTTATGCTCTCAGACTGAGCACTTTGGGCTGTTTCTATGGATGTGTGTGTGTGTGTGTGTGTGTGTGTGTGTGTGTGTGTGTTGTTACAAGTCTAGGAATCCTATTTACCTAGAAAAACATCATAACCTGAAAATCAGGTTGGTAGATTATCTATGTCTTTTCATCATTATGGACCCTGTTGAAACATTAATTGGCAATACTTTGCATAACACCGCACAGAGATCAAGTCCAGTTATACACTCTGCTGGTGTGAATTGTTAGATTCTTCAGGACAGAGACTGCACTTATTTAATGATTTTCTCAGCATTCAACATAGGTACAGTCAATGATCATGTGGTGTGTGATTACTAATTCTGTGCACATTCAAAATACTCATCTTTCCACTCATCCCAGATGATGCTAAGGAATGGTGCTTCTACTGGCTGTCTATACCTTCATATGTATGGTGCCCTTTGAGTGACAATTCATCAGATATTGATAAGACAGGTCCTCCAGAACCTTAGGAAGTCACTAAAGAAAATACATGTTCTGAGTTGGGAACTGCTGCTCAATTTCAAGACCATAGCTTTCCTATCTCTATCCAGTTCTTCTGCATCTGATGCAATTTTCTCAACATTTGTCAATAAATAAACCAATATGCAGCCAAGCCATGATTTTGGAAATTTTGCTACATAATGTAGGCTTGGGAAGGTGCATGCAGTATGGTGCCAGCCCTGAGGAAACTGTCTATAGTGGCTTCAGTTTGATGACTATATCTTGTGCTCCTAGAACCCTCCCCCCAACCTGCTCCTGGATAAGTATCAGAGTCCTCTTTTCATCCTGGGCAGATTTTCTCTTTATTCCAAAGGCTCAGAAACATGTCCTGCTTTTTAAGTTCTTGGAGCTATCACAGATTTCTCTATATCTTGTTATTTTTCTGACCCAAGCCTAGCTATTGAGAGAAATACAGTCTCCTTGTTTCTCAAACATTTTTCTGATCATAAAAATAGTAAGAACTTATGTCCTTGTTGGTCTTGGACATTTCATTATCCATCTTTGAGAAGACCTAATTAATTTTCAAGGAGAAGCTTGCAGTCTGGAAATACAGTTTAATAATTCTGAATTCCTTTCCTTAAATAAATTCAGGACTTTATGGGTTTTTGTTTTTGTTGTTTTTTTTCCCTGTAGAACAGGTATCTCTAATTTACTACCTCTCACAACTACCTTTCTCTGCCTCTTACATATTGGTTTCTCATCTCTGTTTTTAAACCTCAGCAAATTTTCAGGAGTAGAACATTGGTACAATAATAGTAATATAAACCTCTGTATGACTTTATGTGCTTTAATGTTAGGGAACACCTAGGGTTGGTGATTTCTATCTCAATGAGTACCATGCCCACACAAATGTAACTTCAGAGCATTTTTTTATACAAGAGTTATGTTCTTTGTGAATTGTCCTGATTCTGATTTATTTTTGATACTAAGGACATTTTATGAGGAAGTATTCCACTTCTGAATTTTTGGTAAAGGAAGACTGCAGGATAAAATGTAATAGGTGCTTTATCTGGGGCTGTGTCCACCAAGAAAGTGGATGTAGTAGAAATGACTGACACCTTTAGGCTGTAGGAACATTGTAATGTGACCAGTCCCATGAGCAACAGCTCATCAGATATTAAGGGTCAACGAAACAGGAGCTAAGAGGTAAGAGGAGACATAGAGAAAGAATATGAACATTCAATTATGTCAAAATATTTTGGAAAAACAAGAGAACCAGTGAATTAAGGAGCTATGAAAAAAATGTATGAGGATATTTGGAAGGAACAAAGAAACCAGCCAGGTAGAAGAATCCAAAAGCACATGTCTCCAAAGATGGAATAAATATGAAATGTTGAGAGCAGTGATTCTCAGATATTACAGTGCACCTGAATCACTTAGGGATGGTGATCAAATGCAAATTTTGGTTCAGTGGGTTGGAGGTACAGTCAGTCTAAGGCCACGTGTCTAACAAGTCCCTGTGCTTGTTAGTTGTGGCTGGTCTGTGGACCAAGCTTCTGGTAGTCAACCTCCAAAAAGGGCTATCTGTTCAAGCAAGAAAGCAATCAGAAGTGATGGTGGTGACTGTGTGTGAATGAAATGTGTGAACATTCAATTTCAAAAACAAACAAAGTCAAGATTTTCTGGAAAAGAAAAAGTATGTATTTATCATGACTTTGAAAGATAAATGCAAAATCAAAGTTAAATGTGTCCAGAAACTTAGAAAACATAGCAAGAAAGCAACTAAGATTTTTCACCACTTGTACTTACTTATCTTTTTGGTGTTGTTATACACTGTTACTGGAGGAAAATATTGAGCATACACACAATAGTAGGACCTGATATTAAAAGAAAAATGAATGAAAATGTTTCTTTTAATTTGAGAAAATTTTAACTATTAACCTAATTTTTTTTCTAATTAGAGACAGACTAACATTCCTTATCTAACTATAACCTGCAAACCTCCACTATTCATGTGGAGGAAAAGGAAAATACCTTTGGAGTTACATTTATCACACCGATTAATTACTTCCAAGTATGAAGATTGTGACTGAGGCTTCTGTAATAAAATACCACTAAAATGTCCAGGTTCCTGGTTTAAAGGTTTCTAGAAAGTTGCTCTCCATCTGTGGACATACTATGTGGCCCAATATTAGTGCTGGCCCCTTTTGCTGACTGGCTCCCCAGGTCTGGAAGCTGCTCATCACTGGATCTCCATCCCCTTCTTTGCTGTCTACATCTCTGTGCTTCTTGGCAATGACACCCTCTTCTGCCTCATCAAGGATGACCACAGCCTCTATGAACCCATGTATTATTTCCTTGCCATGCTGGCAGGCACAGATCTGATGGTGACATTGACCACAATGCCAACTGTGATGGGTGTCTTGTGGATGAATCACCAGAAGAGGAGCCACAGAGCCTGCTTCCTGCAGGCCTACTTCATTCACTCCCCTTCCATCATGGAATCAGGTATCTTACTTGCCATGGCCTATGACCACAATCCTTTGAAATACACTTCCATTCTCACCAATACTTGTGTTGTAACTTTAGGGATGGGAGCTTTTATGAGGGGTTTCATATCCATCATCCCTGTAATCCTGCAGCTTTTTCTCATTTCCATATTGCCACTCTCATGTTCTCTCCCATGCTTTCTGTCTTCATCAAGAAGTCATGAAACTGGCCTGTGCTGACATAACTTCCAATAGACTTTACTCTGTAATTTTGGTTCTTTTAACAATCTTCCTAGATTCTCTGATCACCCTTTTTTCCTATATCCTAATTCTTAAGACTGTCATGGGCATAGCCTCTGGTTAAGAGAGAACCAAGGCCCTCAATACTTGTATCTCCCACATTGGCTGTGTTCTCATCTTCTATGTCACTGTGGTTGGTCCGTCATTCATCCACAGGTTTGGGAAGAATGTGCCACCAGTGGTCCACGTAATAATAAGCTATTTCTACTTCCTCTTCCCTCCTTTAACGAATCCTGTCATCTATAGCATCAAGACCAAGCAAATTTAATATGGTTTTTTCTGTCTTCTATCCAAACATAGATTTGGAAGTTAAACTCTGAGGTGGGTGATTGCCCAGAGCAGATGGTAGGGATCTGACGTTTCTCTGAACAGAGGGCTGTGGAATTCCACTAAGTCTTAAAAGCCTCTATTTCTTTAAAGATACAATGCCATTTAGGAAGCTTATCAGCCCTTGAATTTATAGATTTGCCACTTGTTAAGTTTAGGAGTTGATTTGTTTCCTTGTCATTCTGTGTTCTTCTCTTTAAGTTCTAAGTAGAGGATAGAAAAAGTTTTAATCTGTCTGGAAAATTAAGTACAGTTCTGATATTGTGGTTTTTGTACATGCAATTAATTTTCATGTTAAAAAGCATCAACAATTTGTGGTAGTCATTTGCATGGCTTACTTTGGACTTCTCTGATCATTTCTTTTGTCATTTTCCTATTAGGGAGTTCATAATTTTGTAATTTATTTGTGGGAACTAATTATAAATGAACCTAGTGAGCCATTTATATTAAATATATATCCCAGTTTCTATTTGTCTTTTATGTATAGAATTTAAAATTTTATATACACAAATAACTTCATTTTTATTCACTTTATTGAGATTTCAGGGCCATATAAAGACCTCCTTGATTCCAGATTTTTAAATATGTTTTCTCATTTTTTGCATAGTTTTTTTTGTATATTCTGTTTTATAATAGGTTAATATTTGGAGAAAATTAAGAAGTTTAAATCAGTCCTCACTGATTCTGTTTTCAAGGTGGTAACAGTAATATTCAGTCATTTGTTTGGTTGTTATTTTAAGGCATGAGACAGGAATGATGCTAAACAAAAATGCTTTAACTGCAAGGAAATCAATACAAAACATTGCCTGATCTAGATCCAACCCACTGGGGGGGGGGGTCAAAAGTCAAAGAAACCTAAATTTAAGATTATCTCTGTGACTAGTGAGAACATGTAAAGGAAGAATTATTTTGAGAGTGTGTGTCCCAAAAAGGATCACATCCAGACTGAGCTAAAGGAAAGGTTCCCTGAGGAGTGTGTCTTCAACTGAGACTTGAGGGTGGATTAGAAATTAGCTTGTGAAAATAGACAGGAAATAGTATGTGAGGAGGCTGTCATTGGAATGGATCATGGAACCTTCTGGGAATGTGGCTGACTCGAAGAGAGCAATAGCTCTAGTGAGAGGGCAGAGAGAGAAAAGGTCAAATCAGTAGCATCCTGTTGGCAATGGCTAGGATTTGGGTGTCTACTCAGAGAGTTACAAGAAGCTACTGAATATATCTAAGTGAGAGTGTGACATGATTTTAGTGATGTTTGCAACTTATATACTCAGGTATGATGTAGATTTCAGTAAGGCAAGAGGCGCACAAGAAAATAAAAAAGATACTGTGACAATTTCAGAGAGGGAGAGATACCAGCAGTTAAAATTATTAAAGTGAAGATAAATTTAGTGGATAAATATAAGATATATTTAGGATCTAAAATTAGTAGAATTTTAGAAAAACATATGAAAGAAAAGTTTGGGAAGAAACAAATATAAAATCTGTGAGTGTCATTAACTCCCAAAATGATTGCTGATTCTGCATAAAATCCATCTTTGAAAAATATTGTGGGAATTTGAGGATGAGTAGGAATCCAAATAATGAAGTTTGACCTATTAAAACAACCAAAGGAAATATTCTATGTTGTAGCACTGAGCTTTTAAGAGAGGACAGTAGGAGACACACACAGAAAGAGAGGGAGACGCAGAACCTGAAACAGGCTCCAGGCTCTGAGCTGTCAGCACAGAGCCCCACAAGGGGCTCAAACCCATAAACTGTGAGATCATGACCTGAGCCAAAGTCGGACACTCAACCGACTGAGCCACCCAGGTGCCCAAAAACAATTTTTAATATGTGTATCTTTTTGCCTAATTGCAAATTATCACACTAAAAGGTAGGCCTGTATGAGCATTTGCTGAAAGGTAGGAAGATACAGGACAATAAAAACAAACCGAAGCAGTTGACACAAATAGAAGAAGCTCATAGAACACATGGGTCTTTGCATTCTCACCCAGGGAGAAAAAAAATGATAGATCAGCATTTCTACCCAGTGATGTTCACTGGAGTGTGCCCAAGAAGAAAAATACAAGCCATTTCCAAATCAGTAGCCCAGACAAAATAATCAAGATGAGGTAATACATAAGTTACAATAGGAAACAGTGGGTTAGAGATGGAGAATCAGATGCAGATACAAACATGAAAATCAAGAATTGATACCTCTGGGAACAAACAGCAAGGATACATTAGAAAATGAAAAGTTTGTTTGGTTTTGTTTTTACAAGGGCTTCAATAAGTTATCATAGGGCTGGGGCATAGTTTCTCATATTTCTGACCACAGATTTCCTTAGGGGACCACTGGAACTGAAAATGTTGATACTTAAATGCACCTGGAGATTAGCTCCTCGAGTTAGATTTTAAGAACAAGTGCAAAAAATAATTTTTTTCTAACTTTATTTTTAAATTTTTTATCATTTCATTATTTTTTTCCTTTTTTTAAGTTTATTTTAAGAGAGGCAGAGCACGAGCAAGGGAGGAGCAGAGAGAAAGAGAGAGAGAGAGAGGTTGAATCCCAAGCAGTCAGCACAGGGCTTGATGTGGGGCTCAATCCCACAAACCATGAGACCGTGAGACTATGTATGACCTGAGCTGAAATCAAGCATTGGAAGCTCAACTGAATGGACCATGCAGGTGCCCTATTATTTTTTTCATCATGAAAAGTGTACTCTTTAATCCCCATCCCCTATTACCCTCATCTTCCCACCCATCTCCCCTCTGGTAACCATCACTTTGTTCCCTATAGTTAAGAGCCCGTTTCTTCATTTCTCTCTTTTTTTCCCCTTTGCTTATTTGTTTAGTTTCTTAAATTCCATATATGAATGAGATGATAGGGTATTTGTCTTTATCCTACTGGCTTATTGCACTTAGCTTTATACTTTCTAGATCCATCCGTGTTGTTGCAAATGGAAAGATTTTATTCTTTTTTAATGGCTGAATAATATTCCACTGTGTATATATAAACCAGTTTGAGCGTCTGACTTTGGCTCAGGTCATAGTCTCATGGTTCCTGTGTTCAAGCCTTGCATCAGGCTGTCTGCTGTCAGTGCAGAACCTACTTCAGATTCTCTGTCTCTTCAGATGCCCCTGTCTCTGCCCCTCCCCCTGTTCACTTTCTCTGTCTCTGTCTCTCTCTCTCTCTCTTTCTCTCTCCCTCTCTTTCAAAAATAAATAAACGTTAAAAAAACTTTTTTAAAAAAGGCTAAAAGTTTAACCATTATCATTCTTTTTGATACCGTCATTTTACTTATGCCAATTTATCTTTAAGAATAAAGAAAACGGGGCATCTGGGTGGCTCAGTCAGTTAAGCGTTCAACTTCAGCTCGGATCATGATCTCACAGTTCAAGAGTTTGAGCCCAGTGTCGGGCTCTGTGCTGACAGCTCAGAGCCTGGAGCCTGCTTCGGATTCTGTGTCTCCCTCTCTCTCTTCCTCTCCCCTGCTCAACCTCTATCTCTCTGTCTCTGTCTCTCTCTCAAAAATAAACAAACAAAAAGAATAGAGAAAACTTATTAAAAAAATGGTTTGCTGTGGTAGATAGCATGGCCTTTGATAAAACAGCAGCTTTACTCCTGTCTCCTTCTTTGACAATGTTTGTGACCTTGAGCTGATCACTGAATCCCTGAGCCATGGTTACATCATTTAGCCACTAGGAATAACAAAATGCACCTCCTAAGAGTTTTTCTCCAAGGATTTCAGAGAGTATATCATGCTATGGGCATGATATGTATATGTATTTTAATTTTATCATATATAATAAATATAAGACAGTTTTATTACTATTAACATTATTGACATTAACAAAAATGAATAACAACATTTGGACAATTATTATTCAAAATTTAGGAAGAAGAATAATCAGAAAGTGGGAGATTATCAAATATGATTCTGTTATGTGATGCAGTATGTAGCTAATAAGGAGATTATTACAAAGAATGTGAAATACCTTTGAAAATGATGACACTCCTTCCAGCTTTCTCCTTTGATTATTCCCAATATAGCATTCCCTTGAAAAAATTGAGACCTCCAGAACATTATCTTTTCTTTTCCCGTGCCTGCTATTTTCATTTACTTCGTACCTTAGCTTGAGTCTATGGTCTGGCTCTTCAGAGACTCTCTCGTCAATATTGTATATTCTTTTGCCTCATTTTTTTTTTCAACGTTTATTTATTTTTGGGACAGAGAGAGACACAGCATGAACGGGGGAGGGGCAGAGAGAGAGGGAGACACAGAATCGGAAACAGGCTCCAGGCTCTGAGCCATCAGCCCAGAGCCTGACGCGGGGCTCGAACTCACGGACCGCGAGATCGTGACCTGGCTGAAGTCGGACGCTTAACCGACTGCGCCACCCAGGCGCCCACCTCATTTTCAATCCATGCAAGAATCTTCACCCTTCTGGAAAGGGAAAAAAAATAAAACTATCTTTTATCAGGGTCTTAATATTTGCCATGATTTGTGCTAAACATCAATGTAAAGTAACTCATTTAATATCATTCTTAGGTGTATTTATTAAATTTTCACAACAATTCTTTTCACAGACCTATCATCCTCATTCTACAGTGAGGAAGCTAAGGCCCTGAGTAGAGACATATATAACTTCCTAGGAGACATCTCTGCCTCACTGCTTACAGACACAGAATGCCCTAAACTGGATGGATTCCTTTTATCTCTTTTTCCAAATCTAGTGTGTAAAACATTGTTTAGCACAAAAGAATGAATCAAAAAACAACTGTTGATTAATGAACAGAATCATTATATTTCTGTGATCCCTGTTAGTAAATGAAATCACCCTTTATCAGCTAAAATCAGAAATGCAGAGGTCATTATTCACTATTCTTTCTCCTTAATCTACCACATACAGTATACCACATACAACCATTCACTAAGTTCTAGTCTTTTTTTTTAATGT